GTGACAAGAATTATGTATATACGAAGCTAAACATATGCAGTTTCAATCACGAAAGCATTAAAATTTCCATTGCTAGGATATGTTTTGAAATCTTATGGATTTAGACAGGGCACTCTAAGTTAGAACCATATATTATAGTATCTGAGACATTGCTAGATTTTTTTAGGTCTCGAAATAAGGGTGGTTAAAAGAAGAAGATTCAAGATCGCAGCTGTTGTCTTTTATACAACATCCAGAGCAGTGGATTAGTTCTTGCACTTCTACAGTTTTATATGCATGAATTGGAAATGATTCATGTAGCAATCTTATAATGGCGAAAGGAATTTTGATGCACTATATGGGGCTTATTTCCAATCGTATCGCAAGTTTGTTTTTGTCCAAAATCTTAGTAACTATTGCGGTATCTACCATGGGACTTTTCAGCGTGCGGCTTTCGTTATCCATGAAATGTGTTTATATAACTCAGTCAACTAAAGGGAGACCTCATCACTTTTAGCATTTTTTCTCACTCATTGGGAGGCTGGGACTAAGCAACTGAATCTTACCTGGAACCTTATTACTAGCAGAAACTTTCTTGAGTATCTTATTTTATTGCACCTTACATACAGAGTTATTGGAAAAATATGTACACGGCTAAACTCTCTGTTATTCAATTTCCCGTAGAACTAGTCGCTTATTTCACAGTTGAGGGAAAGTTTCTCATTTTTAGTGAAAGCATAATAAAATAAAATTGGAAGAAATGCAATGATTTAGAATTGAATTTAGAATAAAAGATTTACAAGACCTCACTCCAATGAGTTTCTTTTAATAACTGAGATGGAGGTGCCGACGCAAATTTCCGACCCCTGTTGGGAACTTCGTCCGTACCACGTGGTCATTAGGTTACAATGTTGCTACTTTAACAGAGTCCTGAATCTTCAGAGATCAATGAGTTGTGCTATTGTGACAAGTTATTAGTTCATGTCATTCTTTATGTTAAGTAAATTTAGTGAAGTTGAACCGGCATTTGGTTTAAAATATAGTTTAAGCCATAGTGCATGGATGAACAAGGTTTTCGTTAGAATGTGAAGACTGAAAGCTATCCTAAATTGACAGTTTTCAAACTTAATTTTGAACAGGAATCATACTGTAAACTTTGCCCAAAATAGACCTCATGAGAGAAGCGAAAACTGCTGAAAGAAATTTATAATGACCTGTCAAGAATATAAGGGAATTTAAAATACTGAACATTTCTATACAGAATGTAATCCTTTAGGGAGGCGTTGGTTCTAAGTGGGTTACATTATACTTGTTATATTTGTTACTTGTCTATAGAAAAGTTATAAGGGAAGCATGCATGTTTCAGCAGACCTTCACAGATTGGTGGTAACCATTTCAATCGAATAGCAGTGGGAAACCGATCGGAGAGTTCTGTTCAAGATTGTAGTATTTGTAATTTTAATTTTAATTTTAGTCTTGTTTAATTTCCAAGCCATACATGCTGAAAAAGCTTATTCTGGTACAGACTCAACAAAGCCCGTGATATGACAATAACAATAAGAATATGCATGCAAAGCTAAGCATTGCGTGCAGATTACGGAGTGAACATCAAAATTTTCTGATAACACTGATGAGAACATTTAGAACTCGTCCAAAGATTGAAAAAGTTGCGAAGATTATTGTAAAAATCACTGCAGATGCACAACGAGCCAAAGGAATCTAAGAGTGAAGTAGAATAGTTTAGAAATGAAGTTCAAACTTAAGTGTAGGTTTAATTGTGGAAATGATTCGAATATGGGCTTCATAGGATTGTTAAGCACCGAAGTGCATTGTTTTGGGATTTCTCCATGTTCCTTGAAAAAAAAACGTTGCCTGAAATATAATTTTCAAGAATTAAAAAAAAAAAACGACTAGTTTTCTAAAGAATAAAGACAAAGTAGACATTGGGATTCATCGAGCTAAGAAAATGCAGCGTCTGATTTTGGAATTTAACATTACTGTGATATGGCTTCAAGAATTCAACATCAAACGATAATAGTTACAAGTATTTGGAGGCTTTTTCATTTCTCTGTATTCGCAGTTTTTTTCATGGACTAATTTCCGACTTATTAACGTACTGGTATACAGATGCAAGCTCAATTGCAATAGAAACTTTGCTTTGGGAAACACGACATTTCTCTTAGCACAAAATGTGGATTGTGTCGTAAAGGGATTTGCACTTAGGTGGCTGTATTTCGCATTTCAATATCCACAAAAATTTAAATAAGCTCCTCCATGAAGTGATTTAATGATATGCTTGTGCCTCATTCTTCCATTTTATCAGTAGACGCAAAAACTGATTAACTTTAAAGCAGCATCAGTTTATGTTGCCAGAGCGATGATTTACAATACAGCCAGCTAATGTAAATTATTAATAGAAACTTCAGAGAAATGGGCTGCGCTTGTTACGGACAGACATAAATCTAGTATTAACTGGTCGACTAAAATTACGCTTTACCTGTCTTTTTTATCAACTTATCCATTGAAAACAAATTATTAGTATAAAAGTTGCTCTTTGCCTTTTTTTTTGCGGATCACTAAATTTATTCTTTATTAAATATAGCAATAATTACTGACACGAGAGTTACACTATGTAATATTCACTGGAGCTACATCTTTACCGTTTGTATCTATGATGAATGGATACATCTTTCTTGGATCCTCTCCACAAAACTTTTAATGCAAAATTTTACAGAGATTGTCACTACAAATGAGTTGTACGACCATTTGCTTCAAATATTGCATACTGCCTCCTAAATTTTGGGATCATTAAGTTTAGCAGTCATTTTAGCTGCTAAGCTTTTGTTACATCTTGCTTATTAATCTTCATGGCTTAATTACCACATTTCCTTTTTTTGTCGTCGTTCCCGAAAGCAACCAAGTAGTCTAGTTTAATCCAACATAATCTTGGCTTATAATCTCTTTACTACGTCATCCATAATGAAAATTAGATGGGTGGTAGATGGATGGAATCATAATTCTGTTCTTTCTTGCTTCACATATTGCAAGAAATGCAGCATAAAAGGAAATTTAAGAGAAAAAGTCAGAAATCAAATAAATGGTAAAGTTATGTTTATATTTGATTAATGGATCATTTTGATGTTTTAGTAAAATATAGAAAAACAAGTTTCACTAAAGTTGAACTGAACTGATAATGGTTGGAATCAGAGAAGTAAGTGATGTCAACGAATAATTCATACTGACAGTGCTGAATTCATAGCAAAATGAATCATGAATATATTTCGTCATCTAATTTCTTGAATGTTGTTAAAACAAGACAAAATTCATCATGGATTGGCTTAAAAATTTTTCCCTTCAAATTCAAAACTGATAAACTCTCAGGAAATGGAGAAAGAGATGATTGGATAAGTAGTTTATCTCCTACTTTAATGATAAGAATCCCAACACCAATTTGCAGAGCTTTTGTAGAGGTACAGATGTGCGAAGAAAACAAACTGCAGACGACTGGAATATGAATTGTGCCAGCAAACAGCGCACTTTCAACTGAATAACGACTACAAATAACGGTATTACCATGCTAGCTGCAAATAACAAATCTGTATAACACCTTCTCAAGTAGTGGTAGTGTTACAAAGGATAGGTAGAGCTGTACTTTGATCAGCACTTCGATAATGGCAAATTAAGCAGTACAAGCAGCTCTATGGTCATTTTTACAGTTCGTTATCCTCCTAAGCTATCTACAACTTTCATAAACCTGTCATTATCACCGTATAAACACTGACAGTAGTATTAGGCCACTGGACTGTACAAAGATGTCATTCTCAGGTCAAGGAGTACACCAGTGACTAATTTACATTGATGTTATTTTCGTTGTAAATAAAACAGCGACAAGCTATGCAAACAAGTGACAATGCAAGCGGTATGCTGCGGTAATGTGATTTCAAGCCATCTTTATCAGCGAGATGAAGGGATGAAAAATAAGATAGTGAGATGAACGAATTTTTTAAAATGGTCCTTAACTATGAACTATGGTATTCTCACACATGACCTTCAATGAAAGGTTATATGGCCCTGCAGTTTCTTCAATTGGTAAAATTGAAGAGGAACTGAAAAGTGCTGGTCGAAAGTACAAAGTTGGTAAATGCCAGTTTGCTGCAAACGGCAGAGAAAAAATCACTGATGATGCTGAAGGGTTCGTGTGAGAACATTTTAATCTATCACCAGATAAAGTTTATAGGTGCAGTGATCATAACACGAAATATTTTAAGCATTGAACTGATTGAAGTCGTTCAATAATTTATTATTTGACCGATCGGTCAATGAGTTGCTTCTGAATGATATACACTGCAGAAATTTTACGAATTAGAATTCTTTGAGTTGGTAAGCGGTGTTTCGTTATACCTTTCCCATATTTGTGCAGAAATTTTCAAAAAAAAATTCACAGATTTTGTTCATAAGTTTATAAGTGCAATGCTTATAATATGAAATATTATAAGCATTGAACTGATTGAAACTGCTCAATAATTTGTCACTGCGCTGTATCTGCAAAGGAAATAACTGTCCGAAGAGCGATAAAAAGGTTTCAAAACATGATATCAGAAGCAGTAGTTAGTTACAGATCCTGTTGGATAGTATAAGTAAATCAGAACAATCCATTCATCTTATCAGTTTTTTTCTTCTCCTTTGAATGGAGTATAGGTAGGTTACAAAGAAACGAAAACAAGCATCAGCTCCATGATAACAAAACCCTGATATAATAAATGGAAAACTGAACAAAAAAAAAAGTATATTTCTTTTACATTAATTCTTGACACAGTGCATTATTCTACTTCACCCCGAACATACGGATACTACCTGCAAGAGAGAGCTACATGACTGCGGTATGTATCAAATTTATTCCAATTTGGATAATGATACGTTCAGCCATGAGTGATTACGAAATTTGCACGAAATTATGTAAACTCGTACTACTGTAATTTTACTAGTTTTAAGTAGTGCTGTAATCAAATGATTAGTTTTTTTTAAAAATGATTTTTAACACCTAGACAGAACAGTTTAAGAAAACAGTATTTCATTAAATGCCTTTCAGCAAGCATTCGTTGATCAGTTAGCTTTTCCATATCCTGCTCGGTTATCTCTTTATTATCATCACCCATTGGAAGCAGTTCGCTTTTTTCGCTCTTTATTAACTCCTGACATATCCAGCTCGGCGAATGCGCTTCTGAAGTTCATTAAATACTCGGCACAAGGCTCCAAGTTTTGTGATGAGCTCACAGGTTACTTGGCAATTTGGTGGAGGCTCATCGTGATCAAGGTGTGGTGTGTAAACTGGATTAACCATGATGTTCATGTAGGCTTTAAGGACACCTTCATCTTGCAACAGAATCATAACTTCCCAGTTTTGAAAGATTTTTTTGAACTTTTGGCATATTTCGGCATATCAAAACCACCCCAGAATGAAATCACTTTGTTGTTTGTAATAGTAGGTGCCGTGAAATTTTATTGACTGCCAGATAATTTATTTTCTTTATAAATATGCGGTCAAATAACTGAAACACCAAAGGAATAAAAAGTACTATTGAGTAGGAGGATGAAAAAACTGCCAGAGATCGTTTCTTTTTTACTAATTAGAGAAGATTTTAAAGATGTAGGAAGTGGGCTTAGCTTAGAGGATTAACATTTACAATGAAGACAGATGTACATTTCCTATTTGAGGTTTAAATGAAGAATTCATTGTTTCAAAAAGAATGAAGTATAGCAAAGGAATAACGAATTGGTTTGTAGTGATGAATCATTAGCATTATTCTAAACACTTAGCGTGTAATAAAGGTTTTCCGACACTCTCTACTGAAGGGAAAAAGGAGCTGATAGGAATATGTTTAATTGAATTTGGTCGTAATGATAAATTTTGATTTTGATCATCTTTTAAACAAAGCACTAGTTCTATTTCAGTAGGGCTCGTCTTTTGTTGTGATCGTTTAAAACATTTGAAAAGTATACAAATAGCTTTAGTTTTAGATTAACAACAATTAGAATTGATATTACTTGCTGTGAGTTGGTTCATTCCTTCTTGTATAAATTCTGATGCCTTTGTACATACCGTTCGAGTGATGTTACTACACTGCATTACTTGTATTCATGCATGAGTTCTTGTATATACAGCGACTTCAGTGAGTGTGTAGTTCTGTGTAAATTGGTCATTACAATTCTATTTCTGTGAGAGTTTAAGCGGAATACCCGCGATCCAATTACATCTATTAGTATAAATAATTTGTAGCAATACTGAAAGAATAATGGTGGTCATTAGCATCATTGAACTTGCCCTTTGTGGGACATTTGTTTGCTGTAGTTTCTGTTTTCTTTCCACTCCTACGGGATGCTATTAGTCCGTCTCCAGTTCCATCTCTTGGTTTTATTGCTCGAACTTCGTTACTATCTTCTTCATTCACTTCCATAGGATAAAATAAATTAATTGGTCTCTTGAGAAGTTTACCGCTGGTAGTTTTCACAGTTGCCTTTCCTATACTTCAATCACTACCTAATTTAAGTGTTCCTGTTCTTACTAATTTCCACATATCTGGTGGTAAATCTGGTTCTATTTCTCCAACACCCAAAATATGCTTATGAACTAGTCTTGGTAAAGCCAGTTCCCTTTGGGTATGTTCTCTCAAACGAATAAAATATTCGTTTTTCCAATTTTTCCAAAATACATCTACAGTTTTGAGAGCATTCGACCAATAATTAATTAGTTTGTCTCTAGTATTTAGTAATGGAGAATAAATTCTTCTTGGTCATTATCATTATTACTTGGTATATTTAATGGATCATTAGGAGAGATAAAATCGATAGGTAGTCATCAAAATTTAAATATACATTCTATTTCTGCTATTAATATAATTAATTCTCTTTCCCATAATAATCTCCTTCCTATAGCTCTTCTGAGAGCTTTCTTGGTTAGCTCAATCATTTTCTCATATACCCCTTCGTTCCACGGTGCTTTCGGGATTATATTTTTCCAGACCATTCCTTTCAAGCCCAGGAAATTCCCATTTGTTCCATTATTGTTTTGAATACTAGTTAAAATTGACTGGCATTATCACTGGGAACAAGTTTAGGATATCCTCGGCGAGAAATAAATCTTCGTAATACATGCATGAAGATTTCTGCAGATAAGTTATCGACGAAGCTCGAGATGAATTGCTCTAGTGGTAAAACATGTAAAAAGTGCTACCCATCTTTTATTTTTCCATTGTTATCTTTGACAGCAATTGGGCCCATATAATCAAGGCCAACCTGTCGAGAAGGTTTTGATTTCTTAACTCCCGTTTCCGGCAGATTTGGCACTGGTGGTAATTCATATGGTTTAGTTCTTCATCTTCGACAAGCAAAGCATTCAATGGGTTTAGAACCGAGTTTTGATTCTTGAGATTTCGCTGATTTTTTTCCATTTTCTGTATCTCATCTTCATATGTGTTCAAAGAAACATGTACACTCACTTTTAGTGCCTTTTTTTCCTGTTTTCAGGAGATGCTAAATCGGTTTCTTTTTCGTAGTCATTTGCAGTATCCTTTTAAACATTCAGAGACATATGAACAAATGGTGAAGCCGTTGTAAATTGTTTAGCTTAGATATGATGAAACCAGAAACTGACTGTTGATTCCTGAAATTATTTTATATATTTGTTGTAGCATTTTGATCCATAGTTGTTGGTAGAATTTCGTTTTATTTCTAATTAGGTAATGTCTGACTTTGACCATAATAACTCTCAATTCCATTTAACTTGGAAGCTTTATAATTTATAATTTATCCAGAAGTTAATAAGTTCAGTACTAAACTATTATTACCAGTTCCAGTTCATTAGTATCTTTTCTCTCTATATACTGTATATGTTCTCAGGAAAAATTTTTTATAACTTTTCTGAACCTTGAAAGATGCAGCTTTTCGTGTACATAACTCACAAACATTTATGTTCATCTCATTTTACTCATCTTGTTTATTTGTCACTTTTCTTTGCAACGTTGCACAATTGATTCAGGGAAACTTTTTCTTAATTTTTTTGGAGTCTGTAATAAATCAGCTCTTATCAGAAATGACTGAGATTGTAATCTTAGTGAAATAATACCATGAATGGTATGGTTTGTTAGCTGTATACAAATATTCCTATAAGTCAAGGTACGCTTCCGATTTTACCATATGTTTTCTTTTTTTTTGTCGTCATTTCGTTAATGTTATACGTTAGTCAGCATAGCCCATACGGAATTTTGTAAACTGCTTTGAAATTCGAAATGTTATCTGGTATATAGATTCTCATATGCATTGGCTCGATGTTAGTGCTGCCCCATATTCCATTTTCTGTTTGTATGTTACGAGTTTTGAATTTTGTCATGTATCTCATCTGTTAGGATCAAATTTAGTGCTGTAATTTGTTTTCTTGTTATATTAGGAGCGTAATATCCTTTTAACTTTATACTTCTGCCCTCACTTTTACATTTTTGCACTGATCTCTTGATTTATTTAATTTTTATGTCTATAATTAAAGCTGTATGAGATTTAGAAGATGAGAAAAGTCAGCATGCAATAATGTTGAGCTTAGTCGCTCTTCAGACTTGAACAATATTGCTGTCGGGAACAGTATTCATTCATGCAATATCTGACTGCCAGTCCTCCTTAAATTCTTATTATTTTACTTAACTGAAATTGACAGAAGAAGTTAAGGTTGTTCTTAAAGTAAGGACTAAAGAAATAATATCTTTTAGAAATAAATTTTCATAAAAAACTCCATAAAATCGTTGATATTTTGCCATGGTGAAGCATATTTGTCGAGCATGGTTTTATGCAGCAGATCCCAAAACTAAATAGTTTAAATTTTTGTAGAGCGCAGACTAACACCGAGCTTGATGCGAGCTGGATCTGTTTTTCATTTTTTTGGATCAATATGTTTTGTGATTCTTTTTGATTTTATTTGGTTTTGCAAAAGCAAAATTGATTTAGTTTAGCAAATTGTGGCACTTCGTGTAATTATTCCTTTTCATTTTTAAAGAAATATTGAAGAATGGCAGCTTTTACAGTTGACAACATTTATCTTTTAATCGAAGTTCAAAAGAGATTATTTTAAATGCAAGGATCTTGAAGCTAGATCGTTCCATTGTATCTATACATCATGAACCAGTCAAGCTTTTTAACATCAAATATGTAGGTTGTTTGTTATGCCGTAAATGGTCATGCTGACATGTGGATTAACTTTGCTTTTTGTCATGCAAAGATAATTTATTTTCAAAAAATTCCACTTTTCTATTTTTATTTTTTTGATCGTTTTATGGACCTTCAAGTTGTTGCGAATTCTTGAAAATTTAGGTAATGATATATATATTACATTCTCGATTCCTTCTAAATTTAACTTCAACGAGAAAACGTCTTATCTAAATAGTTTGAGATGGTATAGCTTTGGCTTCCTTTGCCCATATTTAATCATTCGTCATTTGTGTACCTGTTTCCTGTGGATTAATGTATTTACTAATGTGTATTTTTGAGTTTTCCTTCCCTCTGTTTACAAAAGTTTTGAACTGACATCGCATTCTTTCATGAAATTCTGTGCACAGATTTATGCTTGATGAATCAGTGGAATAGTACTTTTTTTATTTAGGTTTTTGGGAACACATGATATCCTAATAACATTTCGCAGAAAAAGTAAACAATTTATTCTAATCTGTATCCATCAGTTCTTTGTGTTGATAAATAGTTCTCGTTTAAATCTTGACTAGTTACATATAACAGTAAGTACCTTGCGATATCTTAACTTTCACGATGTTATGTTGATAATTTCTTTCACTTACCAAATTTTGTGGGTATTTGGAAATATTCTCTTTTATCGTTTGAATTATGCATCATTTGCTGTAACATGCTGTGTGTTGATAAATAGTTGTAGTTTTATACTGTATTTGGTTTACGCGTTATAATATCCTTTGGAAAAACATTTGTTTTTATTTCATGATTGTTATTTGGTGTTTATCTTTAATAGCAATGCTGTATTTTGATATTTAATTCTGTACATGAACTGATAATTATTGTACATGGTATCTTCACATTTATTAGTCGATCAATATCACTAACACTTCCATAAACAAAGCATTGCTACTTTTCACTACTTATGTGATTCTTTAAATAGAACGCATTTCTACAGAGAAAACGTCTTTGAATGAGTAGTACAATAGTTGCAATACGATAGTTGCAGTTACATTAGAATTTTCTTAGCTGTTGTTCTAAGGATAACTACTAAAAGAAGGTTTGGCTGAGATATTTGCTTTTGTTTTCACTTCACTGTTTCCGTTAGCATTTTGAATTGGTGACAGAATAGCAGACTGGATTTGTGTATTTCAAATATCTTTTTGGTCAGAAGAGTAGATGATTTGAGTTAGTTAAATTCACTTGACTTACTTTAAGTTTGTAGAACTTGAATTGAACCCTGTATTTCTTGTCTGCGAGCAAGATTGGCTCAAATATCGTTTATTTTCTTTCAAAATATGAATCGACACAATATACAGTTGAATAATCGAAACAGTGGAGGAATGACTGGTACTATTGCGTAGGAGGATGAAAAAACTGCCAGAGATCGTTTCTTTTTTACTAATTAGAGAAGATTTTAAAGATGTAGGAAGTGGGCTTAGCTTAGAGGATTAACATTTACAATGAAGACAGATGTACATTTCCTATTTGAGGTTTAAATGAAGAATTCATTGTTTCAAAAAGAATGAAGTATAGCAAAGGAATAACGAATTGGTTTATAGTGATGAATCATTAGCATTATTCTAAACACTTAGTGTGTTACTATTTTTTTCGGTTTTCCGACAGTACAAATCCAGAATTTCAAATTTGTGGAATTCAACAAAACTGAAGAACTAAATCCTGGATTTCTACTGTTACAAGTAGAAGATAGCTACGCGAAACTTCTGAAAGGCTACAGAATGCAAACAGTAAAAATAAGGTAAAAATATAATAGTTGGATAGTGAGAATCAGAAAAACAAAGCAACAAAAAAAAGTTGGTGATACGTATGCCTTGTTAAAGTTATCAAAGAAATTAATTATAATGATAGACAAAAAAGGAGATGAAACAGCGACTGACATGTTAAAAAGATCGAAAAAAAAGTAGTGGTCGGAAATCGCTTATGTAAGATTAAGAAAAACCCACTCTGCATATTTTCAAGACTAATACTTATGCACATTCTATACTAAAGTAGAAATTTTAAAGGCATATATTAGTAATTTCACATCTTATCAATGGATACCATAGAATTGCTCAAATGAATTGTAAGTATTAACAAAATCTGAATGGGTTGTGTAAAGCAGGAAGTGATAAATTGTAAAAACGTAAGGCTGTTTTGGAAGTTCAAACACCAAGCGATAATAGTAGGAAAAAGGATGGTATTTATCAAAATAGTATTGCGCATGCTTGATGTAAAATCGCAAAAATTAAAGAAAATACCTAGTGACGAGATAAGCGGAATCAGAAAAAAGCAATATACATGAACCAAAATACCTTATCAATTTTTATGGATGAGTAGACGGGCAGTGGGTGAAAAATATTTGTCATATCGACTGGATTGTGCAAACGACTTGCTCAGTTGCAACATGTTAACGGCAGTAGTCACAGTACTAGTAACATCGATATTACTAACAATCTAGGATGATATAGTAGCACCTGGAAGTATCAGCAAATTGCCAGAAATGTCAAAGGTTTATTGTGCTACAATAATAAAAGAGCGATTGTGGATAGAAAAAGGGATGTCAATGGAGATGACACCAAAAATAATTTATCAACAGAGATCAAAACTTGAGACAAAAATGACCACACAGTAAGCTTTACATTGTTGTTGGCATCAGTACGTACTGCTACACGAGACCACCCAAGACGTTCTTACTAACTGATGACTGATACCGAAAGAGATGGATGGAACGACTTGAAGCCTTCTGAGGAATATGACATCCGTTATGACACAAGTACTGCTGACAAAATGTTACAGCGTTGGTAATCCGCTCCTTCGCGTGTACCGTTACCGCACCACGGATGTATAAGACATATGTTAAAGGAGACATGTTTCAAATTATTACTGAGACCAAATATTTTCATATTTTTCATTCTCTTTATACAGTTTTAGTGTATTTACTATGTAAAGACTAAATCTGGAAAAGAATATGAAGTGCCCTCTTCATTTTCCTATCAGTTAGTCTGTATTCATTTTGTCCTTCTATTTAATATTAAAACACATGAAGACTTACTTTCATGCATAGCTTTTTTGATCCTTTCAACTTGAACCATATTTACGAACCTAGTTTTCTTCAAAAAATTGATAAAACAGGTTTTTTTTTTTTAATATCAAATTCTTAATTACTAGAATAATGTGAACAGAATAATTCATTTAATCAGTCAGTTGAATGTAAACTACCATAAGCAATACCGCACAGATGAGTCAGATGTTGTCTACGTGTTACGAGTGACTAATAAGGTCATGAATAAAAACTATTTTAAAAAAAAAAAAAAAACGAATATTAAATAGTTCTCTCGGGATATTGAAGAGTTCCCTATGGTTGGAATTATACATTCATTTCAGTCATTTGAGATTCATTTGTTTGCTCTGTTTAAATACCTTTACTGATGAAAATGAACCAATATGCACCACATCCAACTCCGCTCCCCATGTACAAAGATTTCCCGTCACTCATCATTTGAGTGTTACAGCTTACACCTGAAGTAGCATCAATAAAATAAGAGCAATATTCATTTTCTCATCAGTATTTCCGCAAAGATCTGCTTCCTGCAATGAATGGTTGCAAAGTTTTCAACGATCAAAATAATGGTCACACCTTATTTGCAGATTTTTATGAGAAATCAATACGTGGTAATGCATCAATTTTAGCTTAATTTACAACTTTAAATAACTATGCTAACTAAAGCTTAGCAACTGGAAAAAAGGAAAGTATCGTGCAAATGGCTATTTTCATGAACAGCAAGAGGAAAAAATAAAACAAATGACAGCCATAATTACAACTTTTATCATCACTGCTTCAAAAGCTGTTTCTTTGACTGACAAAATAAGACCTACGATATGCGAATTGTACAAAAACATCGAATAGTCATTGGCAAATAGTCTCAAACTGTTTACAACAATGGCACGATCCTACCACTGTGCAAATTCTTGCAAACATAATTCAAATGATATTTTTTTTGTTTAAGACAACAAAGTATTCTTGAAATAAATTGTATAAGAAAGCAAATCATTACAGATACATCTCTCTGTGAAATTGATTTATTAATAATTGTTGAGTTAATCCAGCGCATAAACAAGGTAGGCAAAAGTTAGGTTTTCTAAACAAAGTTTTAGGAGGATTATAAAGACAAGAAACAAAAAACACTTTATATATTTATCTTGGAAACGTTTTTGACTAAATCACTTGTTTGGGGCAAATTAAATCTACTTTTTATTATTATAATGCTTGCATTATAATAATAAAGTAATACGTAGTTTCTGGATATCGTTTAAGAAAACTGGGTAGTTGGCTGAAATATTCGTGGATTTCAATTGATAATGATGATACAGCTTTTCATAAGGATCAAGCCAGATTGTTAATTATGGCACTGATAATAAAAAAGCGTGGTTCGCGTCATATCATAGCAGTGGCATTCCTTGGTAGTTCTTTCACTATTATTCTGATTATCTATCTGGTGATCTCTATTAATCTGCAAAATCTTCAGTAAATTTTCATCTTTATCCTTTAATCATATTTAGAATTTTTTCGGATATAATGAAAAAATAGTTTTGACAAATCCATATTGCTTAAAGAAAACGATTTATTTAAAGCTTTGCAAAAGACTGGATCAACTTCATTCATCGAAGCAAAAGATTTCGCTAGGAATGAGTCATCGCCAAATATTTTTTCAGGAACAAAATTTTCTTGCATTTTATAGTCATAAATATATAACTTCTGAGTAAAACAAATAATAGCAGATTATCACAATATGAGTGAAGAAAAAATTGAAGGGAAGCACTATACATTTTGAAGCATTGCTCGGGTCCAAAATCAATGGAATTTTACTGAAATGTAAGTTCCATTGATTAAAAAAAAAAAAAAAAACTAATACGTAAAATCCTTCATTTTCATTTAATGGTATTTTCCTTAATTTACAGACCAATAGCTGAGGTACAAAAATAAACAATTCAAATGGCCAACATGATGTAAGGTACAAAAATAAACAATTCAAATAGCCAGCACAATGGAATGCATATTAAGGACATCTAACCAAGAGTACTTTAAAGGAGTTAGGAGTTAAACTAAAAATCAAAGGGATGAAAATAATGGATTGACATACAAAGAAAACATTAATAAAAGAAACGTAACAGATGGAACCAGTACTGTATAGATCATGTAAAAACGAGAACTGGGTGTAGATTCTAAACAAAACCACAATTGCCTGAACAAAAAGAATCGTCCACTCCGACGTCGAGCACGAAGAATAGAGTCATCATCTTGCAAAATGATCATTAATAAAGAAGCCAACAAATCAAGACATTGGGAATATGGAAGCAATGGGTGAGTGAAATAAGTAATTTTTACAAAATATATTAGAAATAAGAAAACAAGATAGATTAGAAGAAAGTGAAAAATAATAGAAATAATTTTTACAAAATATATTATGAATGAAATTCAGAAGAACAACAACAGAAAAATGTATAACAACAACAGCGTGTAGGAGGCCAAATATGGCGCATAGTATAATGGCTTCGGCGAATGTAACATATATACATTATAAAAATAAAGAGGCAAAACGCATATAAGTGTAGTTACGGCTGCCTGAAATTGTGTAGAAATATATTAGAAATATATAATAACTATTTGAAATGAATTCTTTTTCAAAAAGTTGATTTTGATCGAAACATTGATCCCAAAAATGTTTAAATGGTAGTCGGAAAATACCTGTCGAAAGCATGAACAAAACTCACCTGAACAGTAGCATAAGTAATAGCTTGTAACGAAGAGGACATTCGATCTATAGGAGGCAGTATTGAATTCATTACAAAATAATGATAATTTATGTACGCTGCATAATCAATTGTCAAAGATTGCCATCACAACGCTGATGGTTACAATAATATCCATATCAGTGCCTCATGCACTTAAACCTCCTACTATTCCTGAAAATCTCATACAGTCATTAATTTTAACTTCAGATAAAGAAAAACTTTAAAAAAAAAAAAACAGTTGATTATCAGTATAAAAGTATTTCACTAGAAAACAAAGTTCCAGCAAGAAAATTATCTAATTCATAAATTGTATGATAGTTAAAAAAAGGTAAAATACTTAAATACTTAGCTTAACACAAACATTTCGCAAAATTAATCGAAAATGAAATTCACATTAGACACTGCTATGAATGAGTTTGTCGAAGATCTTTAAATCATTTTTGCTTCTTCTCAGGCTGTTTATTGTTAAATAACTTGAAAAACATTTTCCCAATAATTTATGGAAATATAACAAACCCGTTGTGGCTGAAATCATGGAAAGGAAGACGATAGCAGTAGCTCGAGCGCTTGGGATGAACAGTGTGCAAATGGCAAGCATGGTGATGGATGTAATGACACATGACTGAAGCATCGTTTCTCGAGCTGTCAATATGATATCAAACAAAGTGCAGTCGTAATCGGTATACCAGTATTTCTTCAGGCATCTTTTCTCGGATCTGTTTATGAATAAAAGTTCGATCACGCCAACTACCATATCCATGAATACACAAGTCAAAGGATATTTTGTCAACTGTGGCAGTTCCACTGCTAAACACTTTGATCAGTTATCCTCATCTTATTATTTTTAACTTATTATATGGTTAGTGTATGAAAAGAAAATAATGTACTAAATTGTTTATATCACTTTGTTCCATATCATAATGCAATTTAAATTTATTCGAATGTTCGACAAAAGTTTCGATTGCTTGACAGTATTCTATTTTTCTAATAAATGAAGATTCTCGACTTTTCTAAAAGCTGAATGTCGAAAGTAAAAAATAAAATTCATGAACCTATCAAATTGTAAAACTAAATTCTTCGCCAATTCGGGATTGTAATCAAGATATTTCATTATATTTTTAAAAAAATTTTCAGTAGTGCCGTTTGTGTAGCCATATAGAGCAGCATATTCTTCAATCCAAGTTATATAATTTGGACACAAGCAGTCAAGATTATGTACATGCGCCACAATATCTAATAATTCTGTTGTCCTGTCTGGAATGTATTTCACAAAGACGGGGAAGATTTCATGCTCCATAAAAGCCTAAAACTTTCATTTTGTTAGTGTTAACAAGAAGAATGGTAAAATACGTAAACTAGAGCAGTTCCATTTTAGCATAAACAAATCTAGAACTTCTTTTTTACCAATACAAAACTGTATTAGTTTTTCTGGATTCATCCTATTTCATAGCAACAGACAATGAAGGATATTGACTATTATGTAGACCTCTCTTTTTTGGATTAAACTTAAGTCGAATCTAATATTTTAGTTTGTTTGAACTTCTGGACCTATACATTGTTCTACCTAAACCTGAATTGCGTACATTTTCAAGAATTGGCAACGAATCAGTAAGAAAAGAATCTGATCGGATTGTTTTTTGCGGTGTAAAATTTTCTTCCATTCGAAGCGCAAGATATATATTATAGATCCAAAAAGGAATAAGAATACAGAATAAAGTAATTCTCGTAACAGGATGCATCAAAAATTCGCAATAACTTTTGAAAGGTGACTTGCATCTAAAAAAAATTGATAAAATGTGCGATAAAATAACAAATCGCGTGGTATATTTATCGTGAAATTATTCGAGAATCAAAATTTTATGAGCGTTTTATTTCAGTTTCTTAAGTTTCAACTTTTTTGTTTTATTATAGTTTTCTACTGATTTTTAAGGAACAAACCTTTTGTTGCCTTTCCTTGAAATATTGAATGAACAAGAGTGAATTTTTAATAGTACTGGAGTAGATACTAGAATTTGAAATATCCAATCAAGCATAAGTGCCAAAGCAGAACAGTAACAAAATTCTCGAATTGCATTGGGTGAAAAAAAACTGCCAATCTATAGTATGTTTACTGCAAACGTAATTCGTATGTTTGCGAATTACGTTTGCCTTGTTTACTATTTTTCAACTGACGGCGCATTCTTTTATTGTCAGCAAGTAGCTGGATAACTACAACACTCACCATAAAGGCACAGGTGTTTGTAACTGAAGTAAGGGTGATAGATGGACTGATTTCTACTAGTACTGAAATTAAACGAGATAAGGAATCTATTTCAACAGATGTGAACCATTTGTGTAGCACTAGAAATGCATCGCCTACACCAACAGCTAATACCAAGAAAGGTGTGATAAGTCTAAAACGAGAAATTTCAATTTTCAAATGAAACCCGACAAAAATTTACAATTATGAAATTTTTTACGGTTGACAAGCATCTAAATCAATAATTTGACTGCCATGAGGTGCCTGCACTAATTTTAAATCAATAGATGACTGATTGAGAAATAACTTAGTTGGAAAATTAGTAATAGTAGATTTATAAGATTAGCCAACATGGACGGATGTACGGCCTAGTATTGAAAATATAGCAACTGATGTTAATCCAGCCAGACATGGACAAAATGTAGTCCACAGCGTCAAAAAAACCGTTTGCAAAAATGTCTGAAATTGTAATCAATGAATTATTTTAAATGACCCGAACAATTTTGACTTCAACTAGAAATATCAAAAATTAGAGAGTTATAATCTTCTAGAAAGAACTCAATAAAATTAAAGAACTAAAGTAAAATTATCGTTACATTAATAAGCAAGATTCAAACACTATCAAAACTAATGATAACGGGCTAACAATGTCTTCATTATTTTTGCAAAAAGTTTCGAACCAACTTTTTGTTAGATATTTTTAATTTGCTGTTCGTTTTTCATTCTCGGAAGTAAGATCGAAATCAGAATTTATTTAAAATTGACCTTATAATGAAGAATTAATAAAAAAATAAAGATGACCATTGCAAGAAAACCAGTAAGGAAATAAGGTAAGGAGCCAACAGAACCCACAAATATTTCATTATTTACAATTTCATCACCAAATAATCGAAAACGAACACCTGATTCATTTGAGTGCTAAAATGTGTAATGAGTTAAAAAAGGATTTCTGTACTTAATTCATCATTTCTTTGTGAGAACAAATTCTTTTATATTCGTTTCTGAATTATAATCGTTAGAATATTTTTCTCATATTTTAGTAATTTTTCCAATTTCGATATCTCAATTATGATTATATCTCTAGACGTTTGTTTTCTTCGGTAATTAAACTCTTTTGCTTCCATTCGAAGAACACCTTAAGCTTATTGCTCCATTCAACTTCAGCTCGTTTTATACTTGAAACAACATCCTGGTTGTCGAGAAATATAAAGGAGTATACCAGCATGCCAACAAAACCATTGCTATAACGCCGAAAGACGTTCCTGGTTGTGAAGTTAATACCGTAAAGATTCATCGTTGGATAACCAAGCACAGCATTTTTATCTGATTGAATTTTGATCGCTACCTAAAATTGGTTTGCATTTGTTGCTAATTAGTTGCGATTTTTCAATTTTGCTTTCTAATTTTAAAAATATGGGTGGAATTAAGTGTACTCACATCATTATGTTTATGTCATCAAAGAAATGAGGGGTGTAGCATATCTGTAGTACCTATCAATGAAATTCTAACCGAAATGGCTTCATAAAACGGTTTTGAAGAAATGTATAGATAAAGAACCAAGTGTCCTATTCTTAAAACCATCACCGACCAAATGCATACGTAATCCTCGCTCTGCTTCCCGTTCCATAGCAATAAATTTATCAGGTCGTAGCATGGAACCTCCATCGATGCTTTCACCAAAAAGCACTATCTGAATTTATGTAACTATGGATTTCGCTTGCGATTATCACTGGTATATGATTTTTCATTCTAAAATGAAAAGTTAGCAATCGCTAAGAAAGGAGGAAAGGAGGAAAAAAATAGAGGAAGCAAAAAATAAATTTTTGATACTACTTTTCTGACAGTGGAAGCATTAAGGATAACCGTATATGGGTCAGATGTCAAGTTATAAAATCTTCGGTAATATTCTCTCTTCGTCCATGACTTTGATAATGGCGAAGAAAAGTTTGTACGAAAATCACTTTGAACTTCGCGTTCGTTTTATATTTTATATAATAGGAATAAAAGTATGAAAAAGCCAAAAGATAACATGAATCTCAATTAGGCTACGATCACCATCTACTGTAATAAAGGATAAGGCTTATTATATTACATCTATACTAACAAACGTTATACAGTTTAAAAGAAAACAAAATTAATTTTAGCTGAAAATCATGTATCATCCGCGAGAACAAAAGCGATCATGGAAAGTAGTCATTATGAGAGAGTTGTGCAGGGAAATAAGTTAAAGAAACGGAAAAAAAGTAGGTCAAGATAGATGAGGCGTGGTTGGATTTGTAGTATCATTACACTTAAAGCATGGAAACCTAAGCGATCTTGGTGACTTCTTGCTAATGGATCAATCTAACACTGAAAAACTTCAAGTAGAATGTAGATCACCTGTTTTTTTGGAGCATTTCGAAAACGCCAATTAATAATTCGAAATGTAAAAGCTGGTTTTGCAATTTACTTTCATTGGCAACTTTTTATTAATTAGGGCGCTTGTTTTGTAATGGTTTTGTAATGCCAAATGATCTTCAATCTTTTTTCGATAATACATTTGTTTCAGTTTCAATTTCGACAATACAGCCACTTCATTTGAACATTAATTGAAATTTGAACATTAATTGAAGCAAAAGTTAGCGAGCAGAGGAACTAGAGACTGCGGCGAAGTTTTGAGATACTTTTTTGAATTCGAAAATGTGATAAAATCCAATTCTGATTGGAGGACAAGTTGAGCAAAAAAACATTATAAAATTAGAATTTTCTATTTCGAGAGTCAACATAGTCCAATAAGGCTATTTTCTTAGGTAGAATTAATGCCGATATTCTGATTTTCATACGAAACCTTTATTAGGATGAAGTTTTTACGGTCTTACAGTCTATGAGAATCAGTTGATAACTTTAAGAGTTCTTAAGTTTTTTGAATATTTTAAGAGTTTTCTCAATAACAATTTTCTTATAATATCAATTCGAAAGATAAGTAAATGTATTAACTACATACAAAGGTTATGATTACTTTCTTACTTGATGTAATTGCTGGAAAGCATACCATAACACATGTTGACGTTAGAATAGTCGATTGGCGCACGATCAGAGCAAAAAAAATTTGCTGTGAAGTGCGATGATCATTGGAGAATAGGTTGACCAGAGAGGTGTAGTGGAAGCAAAAAAATGTTTTTGGAAACAAACCTTTATGATTTGGTTAAATTGTTATTCGGGGGAGAAGTTTGATGTCAGGGAGATGTGTTGGATGCCAGCTAAATATTTGGGCAACAATTGAATAAACTGATTCGGAGGATTGGATGATTTTTTAAAACTGATCTAATTGACAATAGTATGGTTATAAAATCTACATTGATGTTAGACAATGATCCAAACAAAGGAGAGGAGGTGCTTGCATGGGCACCAGTTGCTAATAAAGAGCTTATTAGATAACCGCATGATTATGATAGCTAACAAAGAACAATGTAGATATCCTCATGATTGTAAGGATTGCTAACAAAGAACGATGTAAATTGTTTCAATATGTAGAAGCATAAATTTGGAAACAAAGAGTCCGAAGTATAAGCATTATTTGCGGAAATTACGTAGATATCTTTACTACAATTTGCAACTCATATTTTTAGATCGCGATATTAAAATCCGCGACACTCCCGACCGAAGGAGCTAAATGCTTTAGTTCGTTGGACAGCTTTGGTTGATTGCTTCGCCTTATAGCGCTTCTAGTTCGTAGAGCAATTGGTTCTTGTTCATTGACATTTTGCACTGATTTGTTAAACATTGTTGGTTGAGGGTCAATTTCCTCACCTTTGACTTCCAGTGGGTATAACATATTCACCGGTCTGTTGAGTATTTTCCTTTCGGTAATTCTATCGAGACACTTCTCACTTCTCCATCCTTTCCTGTTTGATTTCTCTTATTCTGGCTAGTTTCCACATGCCACGGGAATTTCTGGTTCATTTAGTAACACAATCTCTCCTCGTGGGTTCTTTTTTACATCTCGAGAGAGTTCCTTTGTGCTCTTTCTTTAAGAGTATTTAAATATTCCTCTTTCATATTTCCCAGAAGGCATCGAGGGCTTTAGTGTATTTGACCAGTATTGAATGAGTTTTCTCTCGAATCCAATTTATGAGGGATAAAATCATCCATTTCATTCTTTTTTAGCAGGCATGATTAGATGCGCATTCGGTAGTATAAAGTCAATTGGACGCAATATGATACAATCATCAAAATTTACGTAAGTTAGTGGTCGAGTATTCAAAATACTTTCCACTTCCGCTACTAGCGTAATCAATTCCATAATATTTCTGCGATGGCTCTTTTCATTGCCCTTTTGTTAACCAATAAGTCGCTCATATACTCCCTCCGTTCCAAGGCGCCTTTGGTATTATATTTTTCCAGATCATTTTCCTTTCCGCTAGGAATTCATTTAATTGTTGTTTCACAATGATTTTAAAATTAACTGGAATTGACCAGCGTTGTCGCTTAAGATTAATTCTGGAAAGCCTCGTCTTGCTGTAAATCTTCTGAAAACATGTAAAAAGCTTTCGGCTGAAAGAGTTTCTACTACTTCTAGATGTACAGCTCTTGTTGTGAAACATGTGAATAGTGCTACCCATCTTTTTGTTAGCCCATTATCACTCCTGATATTCACAGGACCTAAATAGTCTAGTCCTACTCGCGCAAAGGGTCTTGATCTTGTGGTCCGAGATGCTGGAAGATCAGCCATAGTTGGTAATTTGAATGGTTTAGTTGTCCAGCGTCTGCACTTCATGCACTTATTCAAGATTCGTTTGACTTCCGTTCTACCTTTTGGGATCCATATCGTCGATCTCAGATTTGAGAGTGTATGAGCAATTCCAGCATGATACAGTTGTTCATGTCGTTGCTGAATAAAGAGTTCAGTTATGGTGTTGTGTCTCGGGAGATATATTGGGTGTAAGTTACTCTCTTTCATTTCAGAGTTAACTACGCGGCTTTTGTATCTCCATAGTTCGTTATCATAGAACAAATTCCATTTGATTATTTCATCTTTGGTAACTCCTTCTGACTGTGCTTGTTTGAATAGCACAATTTCTGACAACTCGTAATCCTGTGTTGTCAATATATTCTTTTCTTTCGTTGCCATCTTTAGCCAAGGAATTTCCCTTTTCATTGTTAATCTTATGAATTTCAGAACCCAACCAGTTGTTCTTATTAATCTTGACCATTTGCTAAAACGACTAGCATCTAAGATTCCGAAATGTTTGTTTATGATAATTGGTTCTGTGATGTGGGCCACAATTTCTTCATCCTGGTAATCCTCATTGTAATTGTATTTCCACTGTGGCCATTTTGATTCGTTTTCTGTTAACCACTTTGGTCCTTTCCACCAAAGATCATATCCTTTTAGTTTATTCGGAGAGATTCCTTTTGTAGCTATATCAGCTGGGTTTTGTTCACTTGGGATATATCTAAAATGGATTTTCGCCTTTCGTATTTCTTCTACCCTATTTTGTATGAACGTTGGTAGTAAACGGGAACTATTGTGAACCCAATGAAGCGCACATTGAGAATCGGACCATAAAATTGTTATCACGTCCTCAAGCTCTTTTTGTTTTAATACGAATTGTACCATTCTCACTCCGATGAGTATTGCCAGTAATTCTAATCGAGGTATTGACATTCCTTTAATTGGCGCAATTCGGGATTTAGCAAACACTAAGAATACTTCTCTTTCTTGAGTTCGAATGTATAAAGCTGCTGAGTATGCAGCAGTTGATGCGTCAGTAAAAACATGAAATTGTACTTGCTTGGAACAATTTGTTGTGAATCTTGGTAGATCCTTTAGTTTCTTTGGCCATTCGTTCGTGAGTAATTTCCACGTGGTTTCATCTTCCTCACTTATAGTTTGATCCCATGAAAGGTTCTTTTTCCACAAAGTTTGGAGAAACAATTTGAATCTTATCAGTATAGGAACTATGAATCCTAGTGGGTCATATTGTGAGGCTACGAATTGCAATACAATTCTTTTAGTTAATTTCTTACCAAACCATGGTTTTAAACGTTACTTGAATGATATCTTGTTTGTGGTACCAATTGAGACCTAGAATTTTTTTAATTGAACTTACGCTCGATCTTGACCTACCGGAAGTTTTCATCATTGACTTCTTGGTCGTTAGAGAGAAATTCCCGTACATTCATTGATGCTTCATTGAATATAATTTTAATTTCCTTATAATTGGAAAGAGCTTCGTTGGTTCCTTTGGTTGGTATTATAATGTTATCGACATAGAGATTTTCCTTAACTCGAGTGCGATTTTGCTTTTACAAGTTTCCAAATGATAATTGAGTGTAGCGGACAATAAAAATGGAGATGATACAATTCCAAATGGAACTCGTTGGAAACGGTAACAACTTACGTTTTCTTCGTTAACTGGACTTCGAATGTCTTTCAACCAAAGAAATCGAGTGCAGTTTCTATCTGTTGGATGCAATTCTATTTGCAAGAACGCCTTTTCTACGTCTGCTATTATTACATTTTTCATTGTACGGAAACGTAGCAAAACTCCAACCAAATCAGGGAGTGTTATTGGTCCCCGATATAAAACATCATTTAAACTTTTCATTCCTTTACAATGAGCTGATGCATCATAAACTATCCTCAGATTTGTCGTGGTTTTATTTGGTGTTATTACTTCGTG